AAAAATAAATTTCCACAAACCTCCTTAATTAATTAATCTACTGCTCATTGGTGACTTGCTTCGAGATAAAATTCCCAAAGTTCGAAGGAGAAGTTGTGATCAATGGGTTCAATCAAGTTGGACATGACATTTACTCGTTGGATGGGAGTCAAGGTATATTTATGATATAGGTATGATATATATATATATATATATATATATATATATATATATGATATCTATAAATTTAGACCATTGGATCCTGACCCAGTGGCCCAGTGGTAATATGCTAGCTGTGGACCTGAAGGTTCTAAGTTAGACCCCTGATGGAGTTGTGGGTGCGCACTGCTGAGGAGTCCCATACCAGGACGAAACTGCTGTCCAGCGCTCCCAGGTTTCCAATGTTTTTCCAAATCCTGTCAGTCCATAATGAATGCCCGTAAATTTCACCCTGTTTCTTGAAGACTTTTTATTTCTAGTTAACTGGAATAAGAAGTATGTGTAGATTGTCAGTTTGTGAACTTTTAACAAGCTATGTGGTCCCTGTTGACACTTCTCACAGCTGCGTATTTCTTCACGCGCCTAAATATTATGTCAGCGAAGTCTTTATTTGAAACCATCTCTAACAAGACTTATTAGACTGTAAATGCAAAGAAACAGATGGAAGTTTAAAAATCACAATCTGCTGAAAACCTACGCACTCAAGAAGATTTGCTGATTACCACTCAACCCATCCCCTTAGTGTGAAAGGAAGCTTAATACAGAGTCCAGCAAACAGAATACGTAGGTTGACAAAATACCCTAATGATCAGAGAAGACTGTTATTAGAAATTCGCTATCCTGAACAGTTCATAAAAAATTATATCAAGAAATAGAAGACATGGGAAATAAAGACGGAAAACGATAAGAAGAAAATCAAAGAGCTGCCACATAAGAAAGGTACATCTGAATCAATGCAAAGAAATCTCAGAAGAGCAGATATTGAAACCAAAATTAAGCCATTGAACCCCATCAACTTAAATTTCACCAACCGAAAGATCCTAAATAAAAAAACTGGACAAAAACAATGTAGTATACAAAATATGATCTTGTGCCAACTGCCTAGTAGGTCAGTCACCGAGATCACTCAAAATCAATTGAATGAAAATAGACAAATAACTAAAGATCAACACAATAATGAAAAATTTAGAAAAACATTCATGGAGAGCAGGTCATGCATATCATGAAAAACAAATTAATCGGAACAAAGTTGACATATTAAAGTCTAACACGAACAAATGAAAAGAACATTGGTGACTGAATCTATATTCATACAAATCACACCTAACACATGCAACGAAGGTGACCGAGAACAATTTTCAACAATAGGGAACGTAGTACTGAAAAAAGAATGACAAACCTTAAAAAATGAATAATGAAAACATTATATATATGGTAGTAAAACTTGGGCGTTGTAGTAGATTGTAATTCCATTTTATACTAGGTGATGATTGTAGGCGACCACTGGTGGTTGCTGGTTTGAATCCGGTCGTAGCCCAAATTTTTCTTTCACCTTCAATCATCATCACCCAGTATAAATACTAGTCTGTCAAAGTACAGCCACCTCAGATAATCAAATAATAGTTCCATTTTAGTCCGTTTATTAGAAATGCCACACAGTGAAACAGTACTATTTAATGGATGACCTTTTGGACATACTTTTTTGTCCATATTCACATCAAGGTAACTACAAATAAAGGCAGGAGTATTTTCCATATCATTTCAGAAAATTAAAAAACTCCCATTATATATATATACCAACAGCCAGAATTTACAGCGAATGCATTTAGCAATGGGTATGGAATTATAATTAAAATTTGATTCTTTAGGCTTGTGGATGGTAGTGTAATTTAAATATTGATTTTATAACTATAGAACTTAATGAGAAATTATTGAAAAGAATATTCTCCGTTAATATTTTCCTTTAGTATTTCATAAATTCCCATCATGTAAACTAGAATAACACCTGCCGATAAATCTACATCATATATATATATATATATATATATATATATATATATATATAAGCTACTTGTATTAGAGTAAAGCCTGAAGAGGATCTAGTTGAAAACAATGTTGTTCGCTTATATGTCTTGTTCTAATTTAATATTTTCTATATATCTAAGACAGGTGCAGAATTATTTCTGTCGCATGTAATTCGTATTGATTCGACAAACAAAAATTTGGTTATCAATCTTTCCCTTCACCCAACTAAGTTTTTAAAACTGTTGCTCTATCCCATCCTGTTGTGCAACTGTGCGTAATTGCGTTCATGGCTATAGCCGAGCTTTTCTCTAAATTTCTTATCTTATTAGGATCTATTAATCTTGATCGTCTGTTATTCTTATCGAATCTGGTTGACTACTTTGACCTATGCATATGACTTCACAGTCATTGCAAGGGGTTTGGCAAACCAAATTATTTTGCTCAATTTGATCAGTAGGATCTTTTGTCCTATAAGGGTTGTTTGTAAGCGAGTTTGCTGGTTTCAGTGCCACTCTAATCCAGAGCATTATTGAGAATTCTTCGTAACGCTTCTGCGGTGACTTCTTTGTAAGGAAACACAGTGGAGGCTTTGAATCCTCTCTTGACCCTGTCACCATTATTACCATTACAAGTTGAATTATTATTAGCAACATCTATGTTATTACCAATATTGCTGCTCCTTTTTCGATTTCTAATGGATTTTATTGGTAAATTTAGGTGGCTATCTATTGAGACGCAAGATATTCTTGGTGCGATCAACTTCCTGTCATAAATTTTTTTGTCCTACTAGTAAACGTTTTGCCCTACTATATAGGCATTTAACTGAGATGGGGTGAGATGGTTGAAAGTCTAAGTAGCTACTTGAGTAGGAAGGTTTCCGATGGACACTAGTCTCTAAACTTCGATCTTGTTTTTGTGTAGCCTTTAAATCCAACATTGCTAGCTCACCTTTATCACTTTCTAAATCACGGGTAAATTGGATTGCATTCACCACTGAATTTACACATGCGTGATGTATGAATTCCATACAAGAGTGTGTGAATAAATAATTCCAACAATAGGTATCAGCACGAGTAGGAATTCTGCTTGAAATACCACCAAAACTAAAGAACGTTATCGTATTTAAATATTTATTACAAATATATTTATTTTTAAGGTAGTATTCGTCAAAGACTGATACCAGTTGGAGAAACATTGTAAACCTATAAGCACACTGGACAGCTTTCTCGTCCCTGGGTAGAACTTCTCAGCAGTACGCGCCCATAAATTCACCATATTTATAATAAATTAATTAGGTGTACTTTCGCTGAACAAGGTGATTATTTAGAAAACCCTAACACCAATACACAAAATTTGCTATTCAGATCTTTTTTATTGGGATAAATGTCAACATAAACTATGAAAATGCATAAATAATTTGCAGTTTTTCAATCATTTTATAGATCATTGATTTATTGAGATGAGTTAACCACACTTGCTTCATCTAAATAACTCAACTGTGTCCACTAACTTCATCCATATGAATATCAGTTGGCAAACAGAGCCACAAATTATTGGAACTGCTAGTCATTGCTTAAATTTCTATGATTTGACAAGCAAAATTGGCTTAAGTATAATCATCTTATTTAGTAGGCAAAAGATGCGTTGCATTTCATCATTTTTCACTGATGATTAAAGATTAATTATCCTAAGTGTTTGACATGAATTATCCATTTTATAATTTGACTTTCTGGCGCTTTTCGCAAAATGAGATAAATTTGATCGATGCAGTTTTATACAAACCTGAATAACCTAATAATCTTCTTATCTATTTGTCTAATTAATATAACTGGCAGATTATTCATGAGAAAATTTCATAATCATATACCGATAGAAAATCTGAAGCTTTGCTCAGTACTTAACTCCATGTTTATTCGTCTTCTTACTCTCACTCTCGCATTTCGGTGATTATCAGTGTGTTACATGTAACCAGACTAAAAATTGTTGACGAATAAAATTCGGAATCATCATTTGACGTTGGATATTCGCCTAGTAATGTAATCCAGAACGCACGTTCCGTCATATTTTGGACTTGTCAGTTGGATGTAATACCTTCTCAGTGAGTGATGTTTACACTGAAACTTGAGCCAAGCACTCATCACTTCAAGTGGTGGAGTGCTGTCTACTAGGTTACTGAGTCACGACACACTGTAGCATAAAAATGCTCATTGATTAATATCGCCATTGTAAAAAGTCGCCTTCTCACATTGATAATAAAAAGCCTATTGTTGGCAGTAGAGTATTTTCCAGCTTAATCTTTCGTGTGATATAGTGCCAAATGAAGACCTTGATCATTTTAGAATCTCCTTGGTAACTTGGCTTTAGACATCACTAGACTTCACCTGTTGGAGTAGAGAGGAGGAACTTCCACTCAGTTTAAGAAAAGAGATAAATCTACCTCCTACTGCTTATCAAACAGAAATTTTTAAATTAAAACTTGATGCCTGTGGTTTCACTTATCCTAGCAATAGCATGTATGACTCTTTTAAAGATGCTATGTTACTCAGTATACTGGCAGTAGTCAATGACTTGGTTGACTCATTGGTAGTAGTTTTCATTATAGATTAGAATCAGTTAGAGAACCATTGACAACTTGTAAATATGGGATGGCTTTTTCGGCCTAGTTGGAGACACATCAGTAGTGCGCAGTCGTAACTGCATGGGGAGTCAAGCCCATACCCCTCATATTTCGCGATAAGAATGTCATCACCCAATCGACAAGTTGAAATCCAATGTTCAACAATTTCCCACCTCTCCTAATTCGTGATACAACATGAGCATTATTCAGTGATATTGATAAGTACTTAGCCTTACACCCGATTTTGACTGATGTCAGTCCGTTATGAGAAAAATTTTGAAAAAATAGAATTATTTTTCTTGACAAAACTTGAATAATGTAATTTTTTCAATACTACTATGAATATTTACAACATAAATGTTTTGTTTTCTGGAAATAGTTTGTTGTTCATCGGGAAGAAACTGGAATTCATGATTCATCATATTCATCCACATTTATTCAACCTAGTGCACAACAACATTCAGCTCGTTTATCTTTACCATCAGAGCCGCGTTTATTAGCGAAAAGACATACCACAAGTGGATTGAAATCAGATATGCAAGTGAATGAAAATTCAAGTGTATGGAGTAAGGTATGACTGAATGGTTAATCTTTATTTTATTTTCTTCTCGTTTTTCAGTATTTTTAAATGACTTTATGCAGTATATATATATATATATATATATATATATATATATATATATAATTAAATAAAAGGATTTAATTGTATTATTTGTAACTTAGCGTTAACCAGCAAGAAGCCTTACCTGGCCTAGATTTTTTATTTGATAGGCATCATCAGACAGGCGAATCCACATTCTTGAAGAAACATATACTCACTTTAAGCATCAATCCTTGGTGAATCAGTAGAACAGAATTAAGAAACAGTATACCTAAACTGCTCAAATCGCTTTATAGGAGCATGTGTTATTTTGACATTGAGTGATGTTGTCTTACTCTCTAGCCCACTATGAGTTTCATCAAGGCTTTAGATGCGCCCTACTAATCACTCTCAGCCAGCGTAACGCTTTACCAGAGTAGGAATTCTTTCAAATCAACTCCATTACTGCAACGAAAATCAAAATGCATTTTGATACATAGTAGCTTTATTCAGTAACTAAATTACATTCATATTAAAAAATAGAATTGGAGAAAGAAGAAGCTCGAGATGATTGGAACAAGACAATAAATCATGACATGATTCCTTTGACTATCACTCCGAGTTATGCAGGGTTAATAAAACAACCAAAATTGATCGCTAAAGACTTGAAATGATATTTTTTTAGTTTATTGTGGTGGCACAAATACACTAAGCCCTATTGTTCATCAAAACTGTGAATACACCACTAGTTAGTTGTCGCTGCATAAACTTAGCATTTAGAAATCTAACACTTCGCTGGGTACCACCCTGCAGTCAAAACCAAGATACTTCATACTCCTGGAAGTTGGATTAGGTTGGAAGAGGGTTCAGAGTACCAGACCGAGACCCGGCACCAGTTCATGAAGTCTCTAACTGTTAGCCTGAGCCATGTTGGAAGATGTAGATTACCTGACCGGAGTTACTGAGCGACAGAATCCATTGGTTGAGAACTCCTGCCGACATGGCTGGAAATCAATTACAATGGGATGCAGATGTATTTACTCCTTAACGTCTTGCAAAGCTTAAATATTTGCATTACCCGTTATCCTCAGATTGTGTATTCTGTCACACAACGTTTTTTATTTTGATATCATGCTTTTTCTATCCGTCTGTTCTTTGTAAACCGCTGTGGAATTCAGCAGTTGGAGCTGATGCACTTGTGTGCTAGGTTTTAAGTTGATTTTACCTGTCTGTCCAGGATAGTAACTCACAAAGTTACAGGCTATCAGTCCAAACAATATAAAACGAGTGTATACTGTTTGTCTGAAGTTCTCAAAATGTTTAGAATTAATGGTTGAAGACTGTATTGGTGATTTGATAGTAAAAACAATCCTAATGGATGCCGATGTGATTCATCAACTTTCACATTTTTATTCTGCCTCACTTCCTCTGTTTATTGTCTTGTCTAACATTACACTATTTCCGTCTGTTTCGTTGTTATTGTATTGTTTCTACATATGCAGAACTGAAACACGGCACTTGTGTGTAAGGTTCTAGTGTAGTTTGTCTGTCTGTCTACTTATCCTTATGTTTTCTTCATCTTATTTATGCGAAAGTCTTAGAGTCAAACAAGGGAATAAACTAGGCCTCTGAAACTATTTCTTACGTAACTTGTTTTACGCTTTCTTTTTTCCCCCTTATAAATGCAAAATTATTGAAAGTATTAGTTAAATTTCAGTCATAATTGAAAATTATTCATTTAAAATCGATGGTTCTTTAAGTAAATCTGTTAAGCAATGATGTAATCAGTATGTTACGCATAAATTACAAATTGTGTTACTTGGAAAAACTAACTGTAATTCATTGCTATATTTTACTAGCAGGAAAAGTACTAAAGTAAAAGTGAAGATTGAGTGAATTGCATTTAGTTGAAAAAAATGTTTTTTTAAAAGCACACAATATAATGGGATAAAAAAAAGGATCTGTGAAATGAAACCTTTAGTAAACAAAATTGAGTGAAATTTTGGTTTTGGATTTCGCCGATGATCTATGTCTGATATCGCACAAACTCGAATATATCTACAGGAAAAAACTAACAAGTTGAAAGAAGAGACACGGCAGCGAAGACGGGACCTCCTTCAGGTGAACCTAGAGAAGACACAGGTGATCAAGATACCCAACCAACAACAACAACAACAAACACCAATCACCATCAACGGGAAAAATCTAAACGAAGTTGTCTCTTTCACCTAACTACCTACCTACCTACCTAAGCAGCATCGTTTCAACTACAGGTGGCGGCACAGATGAGGACGTCAAAGACAGAGTCGGAAAAGCAGCAGGACAGGCCTCACTGTGTTAACCTGAAATCAGTGTGGAGATCTACTGTACTATACTGTACTGTACTGTACTGTACTGTATTTCACTCAGCACAAAGCGTGAACAAGATCCGGATTTCCAACAGTGATTCAGTCGAATAAGTCAGTGCTTCTATGTGGTAGTTGAGAGACTTGGCATGTTATGAAAAGCATTTCCAACAAACTAAAGACATACAGCATCAACAGTTACCCTCTACGCTGACTCGATACTGAAGATGATGAGGTGACCAGAATAATAAGAATCGGCGGCGAGGAACTCTGGCTGGCTGGCTGGCTGGCTGGCTGGCTGGCTGGCTGGCTGGCTGGCTGGCTGGCTGGCTGGCTGGCTGGCTGGCTGGCTGGCTGGCTGGCTGGCAACGAATCAACCAAGAGCCTGTTTTGCCCAAAAACTATGCAGAAGAAAGTGGAGGTGGATTTGATTGGGCATACATTGAGAAGACCATTCGGAAACATCATGCACCAGGTCAGGCCCTCGAGTGGAAGCGAAATAGGAAACGACTAGTTGAGCGACTGTGGCTAGGGTGAGATGGAGGGGATGGTGTGAGAAAAAAATGAAAGCTTGTGGTTAGTGTTGGAGCCAGGTTGAAGAGACTGCAGAGAAGGGAGTGAGATTGCGACGTACTACTGAAGCCCTATGTTCCACTAGGAATCCAAGGGACAAATAATAGTAGTAAATCATTTCCATCTTATAGTTCACTCAGCATAGCTATACACAGGTAACTTAAGGACTGGTAGTTTGAACCCTTGCTCTTATCCACGCTTTTTTTAAATGCTGGATAATCACAGAAACAAAGCCATGTTCTATAGGGGACACGTGTTATTAACTTCAAATCAACAATCTTTTTTTGCCTCTACAATTGTAATACGGACACTGTATTGAGCCACATTTGGAGAAAAGTATACTTAAAAAAAAGTTTCGTTCAAGCAGTTTTGGCACTCATCAAGAACACATATGTGCAACTTTGTGGATATACTCTCATTTGATGTCAAGATCAAAAACCCTAAGAATAAACTATTTACAATAAGATAAGGTTTCTGACGTTCTTTGATGACTAATTCAAGTTTTAAATTGTGAAGTTCATATCTACACCTTCTCCATGAATCGTTTTTCGAGGTATTCAGCAGTAAAGAAATCATACTGAATTTTGTCTCAGCAAGTTAAGTGAATATGAGAGATACATTGACCAGCAAACATGTATGAAACAGACAAACATACTAGTGAAGATTCAAAAATAATGAAGAGGTTTAAGTTGACACACGTGGCAAAACCGAAAAGATTATACTAATGAAAAATGAAAGCCATAAAGATTATGAAGAGAAAAAGGAAAAATAAATGTAGGTTCTTTAAACGTCCAGAATTCTGTAAGTGATTGGCGGTAAATAGGTGTATACTACTGTGACATTTTATCAGTCAATTTACAATTCCCAGTCATTGGTTTCAAACATCTCAAGGATGTAAGCTGGATAGCGTGACCTTGAAGAAGAGATCAAAATTTGTACAACTCAGGGGTTGATTAGAGTAAACCATAAAATCTACTTATGTCTTTCAACATTGGTTTTTAAAAGAAACTTCTCAACGATACTGAGGAGAAAATGAGATTCAGAATAACGAGTTCTTAGATTAGACATGATTTCCATCAGTCATTTAAATGAAATTTCAAATATTCCACACTCAATTTTCAGTATAGAACAAATTGCACTTTAGTCTATTATTATTATTATTAAAATTAGTCCCTTGGGTTCCTAATGGAACATAGGGCTTCACTAGCACGTCTCCATTCCACTCTGTTCTCTGCCAATTTTTGAACCTGCCTCCATGACAGCCCACAAGCTCTCATTTCCTCCTCGCAAGATCTCCTCCATGTCACCCTCACCTCGGATACTAAACTCGTCGCTTCCCATGGGGATTCTACTCGAGGGCCTGACGCGTGATGTCCTCAGTCGGCCTTCTCAGTGTATGCCCAATCCAATCCATCTCCACTTCCATCCAATGCATATTTGTTGAGTGATAGGTTCTTGGTTAGTTCGTTCCCAGAGCTCCTTGTTGTTTATTCCTATTATTCTGGCCATCTGATCTTCAGTAACGAGCCATCGTAGGCAGTTGTTGATGAATGTATGTAGTTTGTTGGGAATGCCTTTCGTAACGCACCAAGTCTCTGAGCCATACAGAAGCACTGACTTGACTGAAATGGTGTTGAAAATCCGTATCTTGTTCCACATGCTAAGTGCATAAGATCTCCACACTGGTTTCACGCCAATGAACGCCCGCTTGCTTTTCCGATACTAGCTGGCTTTGACGTCCTCGTCTGTGTCGCCTGTAGTTGAAACGATGCTGCCTAGATAGGTGAAGGAGGTTACTTCTTTTAAGTTCCTCCGGTTCATGGTGATTGGAGTTTGTTGTTGTTGGAGTTGGAGTTGCTGGTGCGGTATCTTCATCACCTCTGTCTTCTCTATATTCACTTTAGTCTTTTTAGGAAGATTTAATTTGTTATTCAGCTATTTTCTGTGTGATCAAAATAATATATTTACTGAATTTATTATGAATTATGACTATCCTACCTCCAACTTTTAATGCTAAAGTCTAACAGTTAATATGGGTATAAAACTTGGGCACTATGGTAGAATGTAACTTCATATTAGATTTCTTTATATGATGTATAATACACAGTGATACAATATTATTTAGTTGATGACGTTTTGAGCATAAATTATTGCTCATAATTATATCAATGTAATCATATTACTTTCAACATCTGATTTTTATGGTGTTGTGTACCTTGTATTATTTGTAATAAAATTTTCCATATCTCTGATGTAGGCATTGTATCATTTCTATTTCATGTGTTGGGCGTTGATTCGATGAACAAAGATTCAGTAATCAATCTCTCTCTCCACCTATTTATATTCGACTTAAGTACAGTGGCTTTATCCCACTCTTACTGTATGGTTGTGTGTTAATCCATGCTAAGTAGCTAAATACAGAATGACATACCCAATAAAATCAATAATCCAGAAAAAATCTTGCCTATTTCAATGCATGTATTAACGCACAACCATATAAGAGGGTGGGAAAAACCTACTGTACTTAAGTCCAATATTCCTAGGTGGAGATGGAAATTGACTACTGAATCTTTGTTCATCGAATCAACACGCAACACATGTAACAGAAATGAGGCAACACCTATACAAGAGATATGAAAAATTTTGCTACTCATAAAAACAACTCGTATAAAGTGACATAACTATATAAATCAAATGTCGAAAGTAGTGTGATTACATTGATATGAATATGAGCAATAAATTATACTCAAAACGTCATCAGGTAAATAATACTAGATCCCTGTGTGTTATAAATCAAATAAACAAATCGAATATGGAATTAAAATCCAACAGGTATTCATTTTTTTTTTCATACTCTTCATCTTAGACCGAAAACTTTCCCAGATTCGAGAACTGTGAATTTCTTCTTAGAAAATTCGGAAGCAAACCAGTTCTCCAAACCAAATGCTCTAGTTAAGCGTGAAATCTAAAACATAGAATTTGTCAGGAATACATTTCCGTATTATTAAGTAGTAGTAACTAATAAATTAAAAACCTCGAATCATGAAGTATCTGTGGGTTTACCGCTGTCAAAGCAACTTACAGTAAAAACAACAAGACGGTATTCAAAGCAAACCAGAAGGGAAAATATAAGACGCGCATATGTTCGCATGATGAAACAAACAAGTTTTAAAGGTAAAATAGCATATCAGTGAGCAACGATAGGGATCCTAACACTCTCATGAACGGGGAAAGTTACTAATGTCTTTGGAAGTTAAATGAACAAGGTACGATCGAGTAGAACGAACAGTCAAGTTGTGTATCAAATAACATTATAGTAAAATATAAATTATACTACTCAATGATATTGAACAGTATAAAACTGAAAGTATAGAAATGGAAAGAAAGGTAAACAAGAACAAGTAGGAAAGGAAATAACATCGATACTTTCTCAGTGAGAAATTTCGCTCTTTCAAGTTTTATCCACGCCTAGTAATTTCTCAATTATCCATTTTTATCTTACCAAGATTATTTCCGCCCTGCTGTCAATACATATACAGACACACTATCAGGAGGTTGGTAACCTAAAAAATGGATAATGTTCTTTTACCTTAAAACAATTCTATTCTATTCAGTTCTTACTCATATGATGTCTTAACCCCCTGAAGTGGTGATTATGTAGGGTATTATTATTATTATTATTATTATTATTATTAGTCCCTTGGGTTTCTAGTGGAACATAGGGCTTCAGTAGCACGTCTCCAGTGAACTCTGTTCTCTGAGATCTTTTCAACCTGGTCCCACGACAGCCCAGAAGCTCTCATTTCCTCCTCGCAAGATCTCCTCCATGTCACCCTCGGACATTAAACTCGTCGCTTCCCATGGGGATTCTACTCGAGGGCCTGACGCGTGATGTCCTCAGTCGGCCTTCTCAGTGTATGCCCAATCCAATCCATCTCCACTTCCATCCAATGCATATTTGTTGAGTGATAGGTTCTTGGTTAGTTCGTTCCCAGAGCTCCTTGTTGTTTATTCCTATTATTCTGGCCATCTGATCTTCAGTAACGAGCCATCGTAGGCAGTTGTTGATGAATGTATGTAGTTTGTTGGGAATGCCTTTCGTAACGCACCAAGTCTCTGAGCCATACAGAAGCACTGACTTGACTGAAATGGTGTTGAAAATCCGTATCTTGTTCCACATGCTAAGTGCATAAGATCTCCACACTGGTTTCACGCCAATGAACGCCCGCTTGCTTTTCCGATACTAGCTGGCTTTGACGTCCTCGTCTGTGTCGCCTGTAGTTGAAACGATGCTGCCTAGATAGGTGAAGGAGGTTACTTTTTTTAAGTTTCTCCCGTTGACGGTGATTGGAGTTTGATTATGTAGGGTGCATATTTATAATTTTCCGATATTTTGTTTTAGGGGTTATCTTTTATATGCACTGAACACGTGAACTGTTTGTTCTCTTGCAGTTTTCACTGATAACTAATTGGTTAATATCTCACTAATTGAACAGTCAAGTCAAGCTTATATCTCAGTTACAACACTATAGAATAAGTATTACAGATAGTGATTCTGATTCATTCGACGCATAATATGAAACTCTAAGCACTGCTTCGAAAAATATGGAGTATTTTTGTCTGAAAGGAACTAAACAGCACAATCTACATGATGGTGTACATAAACATATTTTTTTTGCCACTTTTTTCACATATCTAGGTAGCTTTTCTGATAATCAACGTAATAGTAAAATAACTCATTACCTTTTATTTTAAATAATTTATATTTCAGAGTTCTTTACTGCTTATTAGCTCTTCAGTTTTGGCAGTCTTATTGTTATTTTTTGTCGCCGTTAAACGAATACAACGTATCCATTCAAAATCTCGTCAGTTTGAATCCCAAACACAAAATCTTCACATGATACCATACGATAATGATGCATTAAAAGAAACATTCAAACGTCAACAATTAAACGATATTGAAGAAGCAATCAAATCAGAAACAACTGAGGAGCTAAGAAATCCATGTGTATGCAACAAAACGTCATCCTTTGCAGTACAAAATAAACAACAACAGCACGATGGACCTCAGCCGTTGAGAATCATACCAAATCCTATTGTCAATCGGTCAGAAATGAGAGAATTCACGGAAAAAACCATTCTACTTGATGAGAAGGTAATGCCTAATAGTGACTTTGTAAATATTTATCACTAAGCTTATTGTGTTTAATAATTTCACTTCTTTAGTATTCAATCGAAAGTTAAATAGTGGTGTCATCATAAATTAATATCACTCAGAGAGGTATATAAATCTAAGTGATATTGGACACGTGTTTCACCCCAGCTTAGGACTCATCACCGCTGCTAACTTACACCACTTATAACACTGAAGCCTGAACTCTGAATTCTAAACAAGAGTATATTACCACTCAGTCATTTTGTTGAAATACAGTGATTTATGTATTTTAACCACTTCTGATTCTTGGTTTATTCCCATCACTATTGGATTTCTTCACTTGCCTAACTTTATTTCTTATCTTTTCTCATTCAAGAGATCTGTTGGAAACATATTACAACAGTGAGTTTCTTATCATGACAATATATTTCTCTTTTTTCCTTCTTTGAGCACTCTGTTTCATGAAGTGGTTTCTCATCTTTCCACTTCAATTGTAAGAAGTCTAGAAAGATGAAAATATTGATAATTTAGTTTCACTGTCAGTTTCCGTAGATGTTTCGATTTCACACTTAGTCGATGATCAGTTTAATTGCTTAGTATTTACTTCCTTGTGAGGTTTTGAACTTTATCAAGGTCTGACTGGTGAGTTTCTGATAATTTTGAGCTTGTTGCCTCAAGCTTTTTTTCTCTAACTAAACTTTACCTAATTTCAGATTTATAAGTTGCCACGGAATTAAACATGCAGTTTTCTCTGAAGCTCACACTAGATTTACAAGCGAAACTTTGAAATTATTTTGTTTCAAACACCCTGTCACTTACACAAATACAAACTATGTCTAGTGTGAAAACTTTCAATAGGCGCCCAATATTTGTCATACTATTTGGTCAAATCTTGATCATACTTCATGTAAATATGAAAGCTATCTTCATGAATTTTCGGATAAAGGTTAAGTCTCGACCATTTTCTTGAAAACAAAATTCCAAGAAAATATAATTTGTTGGCCGATATTGGTACCGTCAACAATAAAACTGGAAGGAATATACATCTTTTGGTATCAGGGATTTTTAGATACAAACGCTCTCATATGGTCCGATGTATATTCTTACAATATTCCTGTTTACGACGATTAATAATTACTTCATTTTTTCTGACTTCTAATATTTTACAAGAAAAATTTTATCATCAGCTTTACTGAAGTCATCATCGATAATTTCATCAGTTTCATAGGGATTAGTAGGTGACATTTATGTAGCGTATTCACAATTAAATATCAAAACTCATGAGAACCCAAATCCCGATCTGTTAATTAAATATTCCATTTTATTTCTTACTAACAATCAAATTAATAATTCATGCACACAAGAAATTTGTGTGAACCCAATTTTGACTTCCTCAGGGTTATAAGAACAAATACTATTAATTGACAGGATACCACATGAAGATTCACTCTTGTTATCCAAATGCATCCAGGTAGAAGTTTCGGATGAATATGAATAGAGAAGAAAAGAAATTTTCCATCACAATCGTTCAAATCAGGAAACAGTATGATTAGTAAAAAAAACAAAAGTGTACACGGGGCAAGCAAATACGCCAAAGACTGAGAGATTTTCTCAGGTGGAAACATGTTAAAAGTAATAACGAGATATATAGAAAAATTAGGAGATGGAAAGACAAAATGAAATTTCTAAGGTTGACAAATAAAGGTGTCCACCTTCAGATGTTCACCAAGGCATGCGCTACTGAGGAGTACCATAATGGTATGAAAAAACAATCCAGTGCTATCAGATTTTCACTGGTTCTTCAACTTATATCAGTCCGTGATGACTATCAACTTGAAACTAATAAATTTTAACAAACCTCCACACTGAATTATCAAATAAAGTTCACAGATGAAATCAATTTAGTCTGATGACCAAGACAATGAGACCTGTTATGAAAACTTCTTTTAGATACAAAAAATTTCATTTGTAGAGATGTCCGGCAATGACTCTGACTGTGTGTAGAGTGAATGGATACCTAAACTATTAACAAAAGCCTTTCTTGAATTCACTAGATAATCAAATACAAGTCTTCTCTTTGCTTTTATTTGTCCATTACTCAACTACAACGGTCACTGGTTACATAGATATCACCTCTTCTTGTAATTCAAAAGTTTTTTTCATCTTCAAACCACCTAAGGTAGAATGTCAGTCTTTTCCTGTTGACTTGTTCTTGATATGCTACTGTTGAGTTTGGCCTGTTTAATCCGTGCACTTTTGTCCGAGATTCTGCACTGATTTTGTCTGTCTGTTTATAATGTGTGTGGATATTTTTTCCTTGTCCGAAGAACTCAACTCAGTCACGAAATCCGACGCCACTTCAATAATCAAGCGTCTGGGAACCTATTATTATTATTTTCCCCTTGGTTTTCTAGTGGAACATAGGGCTTCAGTAGTACGTCGCAATCTCACTCCTTCTCTGCAGTCTTTTCAACCTGACCCCACTACTGACCACAAGCTTCCAACTCTTCCTCACATGATCTCCTCCATCTCAGCCTAGCCACAGTCGCTCAACTTGTCGTTTCCCCTCCGCATTCCACTCAAGGGCCTGGCCTGGCGCCTGATGTCTTCAATCGGTCTTCTCAGTGTATGCCCAATCAAATCCACCTCCACTTTCTTCTGCATAGTTTTTGGGCAAAATAAGCTCTTGGTTGATTAGTTGCCAGCCAGCCAGCCAACCAGAGTTCCTTGTTGCTCATTCTTATTATTCTGGTCATCTGATTATCTTCAGTATCAAGTGAGCGTAGGTAGCAACTGTTGATGCTGTATGTCTTTAGTTTGTCTGAAATGCTTTTCATGACACGCCAAGTTTCTGAACCATACAGAAGCACTGACTTGACATTAGTTTTGAAAATCCGGATTTTGTTCTTTGTGCTGAGTGCAGTAGATCTCCACAGTGATTTCAGATCAGTGAAAGCCTGTCTTGGTGTCTTTCCGATCCTGGCTTTGACATCCTCATGAGTGCCTGTGCCGCTTGTAGTTGAAGCGATACTGCCTAAGTAGGTAGGTTAAAGTGACTATTTCCTTAAGGTGTCTCCCGTTGATGGTGACTGGTGCTTGTTGTTCATGCTGTTGTTCGTTGGGTATCGCTGGGTATCACCTTCATCTTTTTGGTCACAGCTTAGTTTATGAGATTTACAACCCCTGATGTATAAGAATGTACTTGGTTGTCAAGTTTTAATGTTGTTCTAAACTCATTGAAAACCGCTCCACTTTTCAAAGCACTTTGTCTCATCACTGCGTTTTTCTAACAGCCTTTAACTTTCAGTTAATAAACTGAAGTTAACATTTGGCAAAGTAGTTGGATGTTGTAGGTCAGTCATTATGGCACCGACTTGGCATTCCACAGTGCATTGGTTTGAATCTTGCTACAACCTTGGTTTTTATTTCACCTTCTATCATAACCTGCATTAGTAAGGCCATATATACTTTTCACATATTTTATTAAATACAAATAGTGGTGCAATATATGATCTAGATATCTAAATTCACCTTCTCACTGAGTCAGTTGGTGTAACGTTAGTGGCTGTAGGAGCAACTAGAACGTAGCAAATCGAAGGATAATAATGGCTATAACAAGCGTTCGGAGGTCCCCTTCAATCTTTCAGAGTAAAAGGTATAACATTGGTGGCAGGGTTAACTGAGAGAGATATAACAGTTTAAATAATTCGCTAGCTCCATTATGATTGGCCATCTCACCACCATTTGGTTTAGATAATCCAATCCCGTAGGGGGATACTGATGGTATGAATTGTCTAGTGGCTTCGCCGATAAATAACAGCAAGTATGACATCTAAATTGAGCCAGTCTGTCCTATCGACTTACTCCCAATATCTTACACTGAAAGATAACTCGTTTTTGCATTACTTATTTGTTCAGTGCTTATCTAGAAAATTTGACGGATGGTAATCGATTAGCTCTGAAGAAAACTAAGTGACAGTGGCTACATATAACTGGTTACTAGTTAGTAGCAATTAGTGTAGCTTTCCTCACTGGAATTATGAATGAAATGAAGACCTACAACTTCGCAATTCAATCTTTGATACCTGAATGTACAGACTACATATATCACGGGATTGGATAACATATTAATAGTCATACTCTACGTTAGTTTATGGAACCATCAAAATAGTATTATTATTTTAGAAATTCTTCTATCTCCCATTATCACTTGATGATTAGGATGTTCCTCTGATAATTATACTAGAGTAAAGTGAAGCGATGTGTGCTGAGCTCACATTTTAGTGTATCTATCTATTATCTTGTATCTAAGTATATCTGTTCGATGAGTCTCAAATTGTATGAAACACGCCTCCTGCATTCCACTGTTAACCACCATCAGATAAATTGCACCGAAATCAAACTTAAAGTAATAGCGAAGCATTAATCTAAGGAACGTATATGCCAATTGAGACTGATCACTTCAGTCCTTCATAATGATCGATAGGAAATCACAAGCAGCATCAAAACAAACGAATGCTACCTGTTACATAAGAGGTGACTTTTATGACTATGTAACCTAGCAGATAACTTTCTGGCCTTTAAATTTATAAGTGTTAGGATCGAGTATTGATAGGAACACCACCGTTCACTGAGAGACAGTTACATTCAGCTGACGAGTTCTGAGTAGGGTGAAACACATCCATTGTATCCCATTGTTAGCTACCAACCAACCATAATACACCAAAATGAATCTTTTATCTCATGTTTATTTCTAAAATGTTTTTTTTTCAGCGATACAATACCACTCTAAACATAGCTACATCGATATATAACTGTAAAAATGAGAGAAACAATTCACCAATAATTTGTAATCCAACACTTGAACTTTACGAAAATCCAATAAGATCAGATCAGGAGGATGAAGGAGATTTTGAATGTTCATGCTGTGAAAATGATGACATTACAAAATAAATATCATATCAAAGAATTATTGTGAGGAAAACGGAAGGAATTAAAATGCTTAAAACACTTACTAAAAAAAATGAATTTTTTCACTAAGCTATTTTACTCTTTAAAAAAATCATCTGTTTTTTGCACAAATTTATTTATTTATCTATTTAAAAAGCATTTAGTTTAGGTTAATTTATTAAATGTTAAATCCTTTATTCATTTATCATCAATTGAATCACCTTATTTATAGATTAGTACATGTGTGTGTGTGTATGTGTTGTAATCTGTTATCTTCTATTAAGCCACACTGTCATTCATTTGCTTTATTTCTCTTTCTTGATCAAACATAATATATACCTACATTTTGTAGCACATTTCAAAGTGTCCAATGTTTCAATTTAATTATATGTTTATATCTTCAGTAATATCACAAATTGCATCATGTGTGAAGGAGCATTTGGCATTTATCAATTTATTTACTATTTCGAAATCATTGCTTTTTTTTTACTTCAGTATATTTGAAATCATAAACTCATTAGTATTTGTTTTACTTATGTTTTCATATTATCACTTTTTTTTGATTTACTTAATTCATTTAGTTACTTATTGTTTCCTTTTCAACTTTTTACTAACAAACATCTATTATTGAACAGTTTTATTAATTCATATAATAATGATCAAATCTTCATAGCTATATAATGCGTTATTTAAGTCTTATATATATCGTACAGTTGATTGCACATGTTGAAGCGATCATCTTCAACTTGACCAGTTCATACCACAATCTCTCTGCATATTGCTTTGATTGTTTTGATGCTTAACTACCAGAATGTAAATTTATTCAACCTGATATAATTAATGAAGCATTTTCTCCAATCCACACTAAACAAAAGCGGAGGACTTTACAAAATACACATTTCTTGGTGAGAATAAAACAGTTAAGTAAGACATAGTTGTGAAATTTTACAATATGAAAAGGTAAATATTCAAATCACATAATATCACCTGCTTGACACCGTAAATGACGTCTAAATTATGAGTATTTAAAACATACGAGATGTGTTACTGACTTAAATGAGTTGTTACAATCTACTGATTTTGATGAATATTGAACTATTTGGCTGTCTAGCCTGATTTAATCAGGATACACCTTTGTTTAACTTGACTTCAAATGAATCAAGCCGTTTAAATTATGTCGCTATGGTTAGCGAGCACTATTGATTGGTGTGAGTAGTAGGCAACTACTCATTTTTTGTCAGTAACATATTTCACAGAGTTGTCACAACTTGAAATATTATAATAAGAAGTCAGTGAGTGAAATCAAGAAACAAAAAATATTTGAAAATATGTGGTATTTGGTCTACATAGTGTGTTGTTGAGTGATGGTTCATAGGTTCTGGGATTGAAACAAGAACAGTGGGAGTAAAGACTGTGTTGAAAAAAGTGGCTTATTTAGGTGAAAAGATGGTGCATAGAGTGCAAACAGTTTAGAGTATACTCTAGTTGAGGTCCACTCAGTATTCCTTGACGATTTTGGTGAATAAAATGTTGGTGAGTCAGCGTTCCACAGGAAGAATATCTATTCGTGCACCTCAAAATATCTCCTAATAACATTGTTATCTACTGATGTAAGTCTATTCAAATATTTTTGAAAATATTCTACGCACGAATATCACAGTAATATTGGGACTAATTCCGTCTACATACATTGTGTACCAGGCAACCCTGTTAATTGCATCCTTTCAAACCCTTTGGCGTATTTCTTTTGATTTACCTGCAGTTACCACGTGTTTTGTTGGTACTTGTCGGTTAGGCCAAGATCTATAAAATTCTTGTCAAATAGAGGTGATATCTACCACTGTTATTACTATTCACATTGGAACTCATTTGGGACTATTACCTTTGCGCATTCACGATACAAAAATATTGCCTCATATGCCAACTGAATACATCTCTTGAAGTAACATCCACTGCAGAGAAAAATTACCGTCAGCCTGTCAAACATACCACTACCGTTGCAAGGATAATTTACAATTGTTGGCCAGTTCAGTGTCTTTTTGAGTTGGGCTATTCCTATGGAGTGAGTTAGGCTGTACTTACTTAATGGATTTTGTCCATGCGTGCTCGTAAACATGTGTCAGCTGAGCTAGGGAAAGGATTGGCAAGACATAAACAGTGTATTTCTTTTATATTTATCGTATAGTGGTCATGAAATCATGTTAGAGCAGACTTTTTTGATGACAAATCGCGTTCCTTGCTATCTATCTGTAAGGTCACAACCATCTCTATGATCTGTGTTAGAAGCTGTAAGAATCAACGCGGGAAAACCTGTTTATGGTATTCAAAAGAAATATGCGCATTCACTTTATTCATCCTTGACAATAACATGTCCTATAAGATGGTAATGAAGTTTTCTACCACAAACATCACATTAAAACCTCCTAACCCATCTCATTCTTTTAATTTATCTCCACATTTCCTTGCTAATCATTCATCTTCATCAACTGTTAGTTTTATGACCTAACTTAATATTCTTACTAGCAGCCCTCGTTCTCAGCACTTATGTATTACTTCAGACTTTCTATCTTTTTATTTCTTGATTGTATTCATATTCTTTCCCCTCCCCCTCCCTCCCCCCCATTTTTATATCATTCATCCCTATATAATGAAAATTTTCTCCTTAGTTAACAAGCCCACATAAACTTACACTAACACCTATATAAATGCATGTATGCGAGCAAAATAATCCTTATCGCTCCTTTTTTTGTCCACTTATATCAGGGTGGGGCTAAAAGTTATTCCCAGATGTTGTAGTATTCTGTGTGAAAATAAGTATTTTCTGTGTTCGTAGACATATATTTTGAAGTGGAAACTGCAATCGCGATTCCTTCTTGTTGCAGTTTCAAGGTTGAGTTGACTTCTTTTGATTTGTGAGCATCGTCCTTCATAAATAAACATATTTACATGGCAACTAGGAGGTAGAAATGCAACCAATACTTTGCAAATGAATAAACGGCATGAAACATTATTCATTGACAGAGGGGGCTTCAGAAACTATAAAAATAAATAAAATAAACATACGGGATGCATAAAATGCTTGAATTTGAGCACAGAACACTATATCTCATAGCAAACACGGTAACACATGGGGATAACTTTTAGCCTCACCCCTTATATCATGACTGTTCGGTTCATATGAATTTCACTGCACAGCGAACAATAAAGTGATTCCCCCTCTACCTGAAAATATCTCGAATACTCTTGGTTTGAACTCCATATACTGACAATGCAGGCTGTTTCAGCATTTAAAATGTTTAAACATATACCCTACATTGATTTTTTTTTATTGTGGCCTTTCTTATGGATTTATAATTGTAAGACTTGAATAGGTTGTTATTAAGAACAGTTGTTCGCCCAAATAATACTTATCCAAGATATTTTATTGAGATCTTTAAATTACTGGAACATATATGTTGCATGTTGGCTGACGTGTTTAGATTTGAATTATTTTACGTTTAGTTAATCGAAAAATCTGTTACAGTCATATCTAAACAACTTCTGAAGAAAATGCACAACTATCGTGAAAGTTACTCCCGATCATCAGGATTGCATTTCGGGTGGTTAAAGCACTTATGATGCAGTGGATTGGAAACTGAATCTCAGCTTCTCAAGGTGATAAGGCCGCATCTTATAAATGATGTGCTTCAAAGGACTAAGTTCATTTGTTGTGTTCAGGTCTACTTTGATTACTATAAAAATAGTGTATTTATTTATGGTTGAGCATTTACCAAAATTTCAATATGCTAAGCTGATAATTCATTAATAGATAGTACTATCAATGTTTCTGCTTCAGACAACATAATAGGGTAGGTATTAGCTCTCTGTGATCCATTCATAAGACCATGTTTTTGGCAGCTTCTTAGGTCAGGTGCCCACTAACACTGATGCAGGGTGTGCATATACTCACACGTCTACCGGACAATATGGATCATCTATCATAGGCAGAGATAATGACTCCGAATAACAATGGAAAACTGAATTTCCTCAGCTTTTTATGCAGATGGATAACTTAATATTCAGATGAAGAAATATCATACGCCTGTGCATACAACATTCCCAGCTATTTGACCCATTTTTCATAATGTTTATTGTGTGCTACAATGCTATCTGAAGGTATAATTCCCTACGTAAATCAAGTAGTTATGAGATATAGAAGGCACTTGGTTTACAATAGACATTCGGAACTGGCTAAAGAAATAGGCTTGTAAAATTATATCGAAGGCATGACGACATCGGTTTTAGCACTAGTGTCTTTCACAAACTTCTGCAAGTATATCAAATCGTTCCTAATATAGTAAGATGCATTTGATAGCATCGAAATAAAGTTTAAAATCTTCAGCTCAGAGACATTTCTATTGTTAAATGTAGCATCAGGTTGTGAAGGTATATTATTTGATGAGAAATTAATGTCTGTGTATATACTCAACATACACACATTTATTTGTTTAAGTTATGGACAGAGTTGGTCCATGGAATTTAGTGAAGGGCACCTACTGTGAAACCACTCACGATTTGGTTGCAAACCATGACAACGGCAGATAATGTATAGCGCTTGTAAATGTGATGCGGACAAAAAGCTTACCATATTTCATAAATTGCATTAATATAGGGGGAGAAAGCATACGCTTAGCTCTACTTAGTAATTTGGCTCAAAGTTGTCAGCTTGTAGCATTTTATTTCACTGTATTGTGTTGATATACGTAACAACTTGTAGCGTCATACACTTCCCCAAAATCAACAGCCTAGGGTTTGACGACTTTCGACATTGATGCTGACCTTGATAGTTTAACTGGACTCGCTAAGCTGAAGGCACCCGGTCAAGCATCCTCGCCATTTGGCACGCTGTCGTGTTACATTGCACTGCTCGTATTCAACTCTCTAGCCAGTTAGTTGGAACGCATCGGTATTTTGGCATAACCACCCAAATATACTATTCCATCCGACTACGCTATCGTGTTCTT